CATCTTTCTCTTGTCGAGTTAGCCAGCTTTGAAACGTGTTCGTTCAAATCGGATCCCATTCTCTAGTCAGGCCACCTAGCATATAGGTTTCAAAATTTGTTACTAGTTTTTTTTTTTTACAACGTGATTTGTAAAAATGAAATGCACATTTTTGATAATTTTTTTTTAATTACAAATTTTGATTACTCGATTAATGCAATTCATTTTAATTATAAACAAAAATATATGTAACCATAAATTACGAAAAGTCTTTATTTAAAAAAATCGAAATTTAAGCTAGCCTTTGTTTTTTATGAAATTAAAATTACCAAAAAAAATTTTTTTTTTAATTAGGTAATCTGAAATTTCACATTTTTCTTAACTTTTTTTAAATTAATTTCAAAAAGTGGCGCGGTCATCGGATGTAACTGAATGTGGTGCACAATCTACGGTATATATTTTCACGCTTGATTTTGTTTCGCACCTCATGATCACAATAATAATCTTATAAATCGATTCATTTATGTTTCTCATATATTGTGTATATAAAACGATAATACCATGTGTAAAGAACAAAAAAAAATTTTTGTTTTTACTTTTGCCGTAAATGCTCTTTGATTCACAATGAGTGATATTATTGAAAAAAGTATACACACACACATACGGTAGATACAGTATTTCTCTAATGATGCCTTTAATAAAACACCAAATATTGTGGCTTATTTTAATGAGTTATTAGTAAATCATTCTAATGGACCATATTATGTTGTCGAAAATAAAGAAAATAAATAAACAAATAGATTTTCTAATTAAGCAGCTTATACCTGTTAAATTTTTCACGATGTTTGTTTGGTCGAGATATTGTTTTTTTTTGATGTGTTTGGCATGACCTTCAACGGCACATGACGGATGCAATGCATGCATGATCAAATGAAGAAGCTAACAAAAAAAAACCTAGGACAAAGGAGACTCCCGGGATTCAAGTCATTTGGAAAAATGGATCAATCAATTGAATTAATTAATCAAATTAATTAGTCTGCCAATCACGTAATTAATTGTGAAATTTGGTTAACGAATGATCAAATCGACAATTGACAAGTAATTGGGAAAATAGGAACAATAGGTCGACGTCTTTATCATTACTTTTTGCAAAGTCTCGTGTGCGTTAACTAAATTTGGAACTTGAATGGAGGCTCATTATTGTGAAAAAAAGAAAAAGAAAAATGCCGTGGATGAATTATCAATTGTATCAACACAAAAAAAAATATTTTTTTTTTAACGTCGCATGGGTTATTCATAAGATAAGGTGGCCTGATTAGAGAATGGGATCCAATTTGAACGAACATGTTTCAAAGCTGTCTAACTCGACAAGAGAAAGATGTGATTTGATGCCTAATAATCCCGCCAACAAGATACGCACAGGTAGTCAATAACACTAGTTACAATAAGTAAGGATTACATGTTTCAAAAACGTTATATTATCGTTATTAAATTATGCATTAATAATATCGTCTACATTATATATATGTGTGTGTGCATCGTAAGTTCAATAATTCTCCGATCAATAAGATTGGCCACGTTTTGTTTTCGGGACGCACAAAATTCCGTTCACATCATGTACAGCGAGCCTATCGAACGTGTGTGTGTGTGGTCCTACATGTGCGTAATAAACCATCAAAGGTTTCGGATCTTTGACAACTGACGAAGGTGGTCTCATGCACCTTTCGGTCAACGGATGCACTCGAATATGTGCGATATTGTGATTTGCACGCACGCACGATATCTACGTCCTTACGTCACCGGTAAATGTGACCCCCCCCCCCCCCCCCCCCCCCCCCCCCCCGCCCACACGCACCAACGGTACCTCGCAGCCCCACATCAACCACCACACAC